TGTTTGATCTTAACCAAGCGGCGTCACCTTCTGAACACGAGTCTTTTCATAGATGGCGTTGAGAGCTCACCGGCTGAGTGAGACTAAATGATAAGCTCACCCTGTTCTCACTCCTTGGAGAGCGCTTAGATGTGGGGAGGCTTAGATACTACCAGTCTGAGTTCCTGTGGGAAGGAGCTGAGGCTGGAGGAGCTCTGAGAGTGTGGAGCATTCTTTGGAGTTGGGAGTGTCCTTGTGACCTGGCTGCCTGAGGACAGAACTTGCAGCCCATGGTCTGTCTCCCTGCTTACCGTGAGGAACAGGCTCCCAAAGGACTCTCTAAAGACCCTCTCTAGGTCTGGAGAAGAGACGCAGGCCCATTCCTGCTCTCTACAACCTGGCCTTATCTGTCCGCTAAAACAGAAGCTCCTCCCCAACTCCCGGCTGATCAAGTGGACATAACTCAAAACATTTCAAAGGGCTAAAAAATCGCTCTTTGCTGAAACCATGAAGCAAGCAGGGCCCTGCCCACCAGACAAGGGCTGGATATTGAGGTTCCACTTCTAATTCTCTAGGTTCTGGCTCAGGGTACCCATAGTTCTGTTTCACTGGGCAGTTTGTGAAGGATCCTTTTTGTCTTTGGGGTGGTAAAGTTCCCTCCATGGAGGGGACAGAGCTCAGAAAGTCTGCTTAATCCAAGTGCCTGGGCATCCAGCCTTGTGGGATGTGACAGACATTGGTGGAGGGGCCCCATATGCTCAGGGGTTCCCAAGTCCGGAGAAATTGCTCCTCTACCTGTCCTCCTGGGAGGTCCCACTGGCTGGCGCTTGGGTGGTGGGTGAGAGTCTTTTCTCAAGAGACTGACCCCTGTAGTATAAACCCCACTTCTGCCACCTCCTGCTGTGTGACCACAGGCAAGTTCCCGAACTGCTTGCCTTGGTTTCTTTATTGCAAAATGAAAATATTAACAGTACTCACTCCGTAGGTTGTTGTGAGAAATAAATGAGCTAACACATGGCAAGTGCTTGGCACCGGATAAACTTGTTAATTGTTGCTGTTTGCATTTCTGTTGCACATTAATGATTGCTTTGCTTTTTTCCCTGTCTGGCTGGAAGCTCTTTGGGAACAGGGCAGCGGCTCAGGGCCAGGCTAGAGTCACTCGTACCCAGTGAGAGGAGAGCTGTCTTTAGGCAGGGGCTTGTCATTCTGTGACAGAAGGAAATGACAGGATGACAGCTGAGTGGAGGTCCCTGAGGAAGACCCCCCTGCCCAACTGTCAAAACTCACCCTTGTGGGTGGCCAGGGTGGTGCTTGTCTGACTCACCTAGTGGATCTGTGGTGGCGCGGGCCTAGAACCCGTGTCTCCTGCCTCCAGTCCTAGTCTCCACCCACAGCACCGACCTGTCTGTAAATTCCAGTCACCGCTGCAAAGACCTGGCCTACTTGCCCAACCTTGCCAGCCATAATTGTTTGCTTCAAATGAAGGCAGGGGAGTACTTGAAACCTCAATAAGACAATGAAAATTGGAAAAGACATTTCAGGGGACACAAAATATGCCATAAGGGGCGATCATTGAATATGAATTTGGGGCAAATGTGCCATTAGGCAGTGGGTAGGAAGACCCAGAGGGAAAGCTAGGCATGCTGGGGGTGGGGGAGATGGCTGGGAGGGCCGGAGCAGTGAAATCTTCAGGGAAATGTGGTCTTTGCACACTCTCCTGTCGATTCCAACTTTTGAAGTTTTTCTGGGGGTTGGCCCCTGATGACAGCTCACAGCCTTGTAAACAGAGGAGCGCTCCTCACAAAGCTTCGGCTCTTTGAAAAACTGCCCTCCCAGAGCACGCTTTCTCTGTGCACCTCACTGTACTGGCTAAAAGCCGGAGTCCCCAAAGGTCTGGAGAACTCAACTAGAGCTCTAGACATCAAGTCACTTGAGATCTGCCAGCCTTCTAGAAATTTGGGGTGACCTTCCGAAGTCTGGGAGTGTCCTCTCCCCGGCACATCCTCACTCAGCTGAATGTTCCAGAGAATCCCTTCCAACTTCCAGACAGTGTTTTACAACTCCAGAGAGGTCTAGGCATTTGGAATCCTGGAACATTCGTGATGCTTCCGCATTTCCGAGAGCTTCTCTCACTCCAGTGCTCCAAGATACCAGAGAGCCTCTTCCAACCGTTTTTAAGAGCCACTGCCACAGTCCCCACATTCCAGCAATCTGCAGAAGGGCTGTGGCTCTCGGGGTTCCGGAAGCACCTTCTACAGAGGCAGTTCCTTAGAAAGGGTCGCCTGGAGCTGCAGGCTTCACTCTAGGCTCTGTGACTACAGAAAAGGGAAGCTCTACAGGGAGGTGCTGACGCACACGTGTGTGAACCAGGGCAGCAGAGCCCAGTGCCTGTGAGTCCTGTCTGTCTCAGGAGAGGGAGTAGGGGTTTTGCTGAGCTGGAGCATGGGACTGAGAATCGTGGCTGGTTCCAGGGCCGTCAGGAAGCATCCAAACAAATGAAGCAGCAGTAGCCAGCGTCCCTGGGTGGTCCCCGTCCTTATTCCCACTGCAGCTCAGGAAAACTCTCATGCTCCGTGCCAGCTGCCTCCCCATCTGAGGCTGTGGGCCTCCCAGCCAGCAGGGCCACAGGCAGCAAGACAAGGGTTCTGGGGAGGGGGAGGAGCCTGGGTAGGAACCTGCAGCACCTCCCAAGCTGACGTGGCATCCAAGCACTGGCCGAAGGGACCAGCTGGTGTAAGCTGGTCTCCTGCCCCTTCAGCACTCCACACAGACATTGCCTCCTGAGATCTCAGAGCCCCAGGCAGAGCTCAAGCCCCCTGCTCTTTGGGCTCCATGGCATCTATCAGCAGCTCACGTGCCACAGGTCTTGCTGTCTTGTGTACGGTCCAGGCGCCACCGGGGAAGCTGCCTTGTACTTGGCTCAGCGCTGGCTCACAGCCAGCTCTCCATGGATATTTGCCAAATGAGCACATACTTTATTTAAGTCTAGACTGTGGATTCCCTTCAGTTGTCATGTTGGCTAAACTCTCTGAAACAGGCAAAGCCAAATCCAAGACGCTTTCTAAATATCAGGGAGTTTCACCCCAGCACAGCTCCTTAAAGGAACCCAACCAATGTGCCCCTCTGAACATGAGGTGCTCACCCTCAGCATGCTAAAGTCGTCTGCCCAGGGTCACTTATGGATAAGTGATGACGCAGGGCTTGGAACTTGTGTGGCTTAGTCTGTGGGCCTAACCACCTCCTGCCCTGTGGGGTCTACCATCCTGCACCTGGTACCACCCTCTGATCCTGGGGTGTGCCTTCTTGGTTTCCATGAATACCCTGGTCACTGCTGGGCACCCCGATGCCCTGCCACAAGTCATGCTTCCCAATACCTGACCCCTGGGGGCTCCAGCCTGGGCTGGCCCAGTTGGTCCTGGATGCATGATTTGGAGACAACTCCAAGGCTACTTTGCAGAATGCTGGATGAGATGGTAGCAAGTCTCTCTGGTCTTTCACTGGGTACCGTGGAAGGGAACCAGGTCCTGATATCCTCAGGCCTAGCCCATCTTACTTCAGAGATGGGGAGACTCTACCCAGTTGCTGTGACCTCCCTACCACAACCCTGTGCTCCCAATGGTTCCCAGCAGCTACGGGGACAGCTGTGCTGCCTGGGGACTTGCCCACCCTAGCTCAGGTACTCCCTGCAGAGAGGTCCCACTGGTCCTCTGCCCCCAGAGTGACCCTTCAGTCGCTCCACTTACCACATGATCTAAAGGAAATCCTAAAGTGGTGATTCCTCAAGAGCCCTCCATGGCTCCCCTCTGCCTTTGACACAAGCCCACACTCTGGATGTGGCCACTAAGGCCCATAGATTCCTGGACCTGAAGAGCTGGGCACCTCAGAGGTGTCTGAGCCTCCCAGCCTGCTCCCCTTCCTGTGCTGGCAGATGCCGGCCTCTCAGCCTTCATGGCTTCTTTGGGGGCCTCCCTGACCCTTCCACACTTTCTGTTTGCATGACTCTCACCTTGCGCCTCCACAAGTCCTGCCTTCCCCATCGAAGCACTTGTAAGTATCTGTCCCCACCAGTCTGTGTTTCTGGACAAAGTTACCTTGCCTCTTGTTGGTCTTATGCACTCCTGACAGCTTGATTTTCAGTCAGTGCCAATGGTGTTGTTAGATGGATGGATGGATGGATGATGGATGAACAAATAAATGAATCATGGATCTCAGAATGAATGAATGAATAAATGAACAAAGAAATAATCGTTGATCTGTTTCCCCAACCATGATCAAGAAAGTCAGGTTGGCCTTGTGTCTTTCTCTCCTGAGGTCCTCTCTCTGCCATTCCCAGTTTCTCAGGTAGCATCTGGACTTCCCCATGATCATTCTGCTAGGGACTCATACCAAGGATCACGATGTTCCTCACATCCTTGACCTTCATAGAACTCAAAGGAAAGGAGCTCCCCCACCCCCCATTTAAGGGATTGGAGACCAGAAATCAGTCCGGGACTGGGCAGGGCTTTCCTAGGCTCCCATCACAGGCCTGTGGCACACAAAGCCAGGCCTCCTGAGCCCACTAGGACACACGAAGGTGGCACACAGCCCCTTGATCACTCAGCAGCCTCAGCTCAAGCCAAATCACTGCTGCCCTGACTTCTCACTGAGGTGCCGACCACCTGATCCCACCCCTGCCCAACGCCATGTCTACCAGTGGCACACTGTAGTTGCTCAATTAAAACTGGTCTAATATCTCAAAGAAGACGGGTGCCTAGGACACTACAGATCAGAAGGGGCCACACCCCTGTGTTTCTCTCCAGACCCTTTTAAGGGGCCCCTCCCCTCTTGGGTTTCCCCATGGGGAGGTGACAGGCACCTCAGAACTGTAGATGACATCTCTTTTTATTCATGTGTTGCATCACCTGCTGCCTGTTTTCTCCAGTCTTAGTTCTCCAGTCTGGGCCAGGCCCACCCTTTCTCCCTCAAACAGCCTCCAGCCAGGCCCCCAGGCCTCAGAGATGTCCTCTTTGCCACAGGGGAAACAGTGGTGGCCAGCTTATTCCGACGTGGGGAGACTGAAGCCAGAGCACCTAGCCATCCCAGTGCACATGCAGCCTCAGACCCCGTAGTGACTTCAGTGGTCTGGGTTCCGAGGGCCCTCACTGGCTTGCGGCCGGCTCTGGCCACGTTGCAGGGAGCTGCTGATCTGGTGTCTGAGGGCCTCCAGCCTCTGGGCCAGGTTTGCAACCCTGGTGGCACCTTGAGGAGCAGAGAGACTTACGGTCTGTACCTGGGCCCTCTCCACCCTGGCCCACCTGGAAGAGGCTCAGATGCCCTCTGCTACCCTCCCCACCTGCAACCATCTTAGGGACGCTGCTCGAGCCCACCCTATCCAGAGATGGGAAGCCAGAAGCCTGCAGCCCACCAGGGCCCCTCCCTCACCTCTCAGCACAGGTGGCGTGTTTGGGGGCTCCACAGGCAGGGGAGGAGCCGAGGGGGCCACCTCTTTCCCAGTCAGCACCTCTGCTAGCACTGGGGTCTGCACCCAGCTGCCGTGGCTCCTGGGCCAGGTGAGTGGGGGTAGCAGGTGAACCTTTGTGTCCCCAGGCCCTCTGCTCCTTGACCCAGTGCCCCAGGGCTGGGCCCACCTTTCTCTCGGGCACTTGGCAGAGCCAGGGCTGCATAGAGGTGCCCAGGGTGGGGGCCGGGCAGGCAGAGGCATGTCACCTGGGGCCTTGGGGTCCAGTACCTGCAGAGAAGAACAGGCCCAGTCAGGGACCCCAGCCTGGGCTCTAGGTATCCCACATTCCTGGTGTTGGCTATACCCTCCATGTCCACCCCACGGGGTGCCAAGAATATCTGGGCAGCAACAAGGGGTGGGGTCTTGGTCGCCTTCCTTGCGGCTCCTCTAACGCCCTCTCCTGAGGCTGGGCATCCCACACCCTGGGCAGAGGGAGCCCCAGCCAGCCCGTCACCCACACCTCCACCTTGGCCCTTCCTACCTGTGGCAGGTGGCCTTCCCGCTGTGGGCATGCCCAGTGGGCCAGGGGTGCTCGGCACAAGGGGCAGAGATGGCAGCATGGGCAGAGGGATGGCGGTGCCTGCAAGAGGGCGCCTCAGTGGCTCTGGGACATCCCAGCCCGTCACCCCCCAGTTGGGTGGTGAGACTCACATGGCAGGGGGCAGCTGGTGTCAAGTAGGGACACAGCGGGGCAGAAGCGGGGCCAGGCCAAACAAAGCAGGCAGAGAGGAGGTGCCTGCAAAGAAGAATGAGTCTGTGCCCCCCACCAACAATCCCCAGGCAGATCTCCGGCTCCCCTTCTCCACAATGACTCTGGGGGCACCTGCTCTGTCCAGCACCGGCCCAATGTCCATGGGCCACAAACTAACTCGTTCCCTCCAGGATTTAAAGAGCCTTAGAAAGTGGGGAAATGAGGTCCCCCATGGTACAGAAGAGGGAAGTCCAGACCGTGAGGGCCCAAATGACCGGCCCAAGGTGTCACAACCAGGAGGAGGCAGATCTGGGTAGTCAGAAGCCAGAGGTCAGATGCGTACTCGTGCTGATGCCCCTTGGTCCACAGCCTCTGTCCGAGGCCTGCTTACCTCTCCAGTTCCTGGACCTGCTGGGCCAGGACCTGCTGCTCCCCCCAGGCCAGGTCCCGGCTCCTCTGCAACTGATTCATTTCCTTCCTGGGGACAGTGAGCCAGGGAGGTGACAGAAGGCAGGGCTGCTGGGTTCTAGTCAGCCCCTCCTCACTGCAGCAGAGTGCCAGCCCCAGGAGGCAGGAGATGACAAGGGGACCCAGGGAGCAGGAAAGCGGGGCACCCTGGCTCAGGCACCTGGCAGAGAGGGATGGGGACAGAGTCCCGGGCTGTGTGCCTGGCCCTACCTGAGCCTCTCATTCTCCAGCATGAACTCCTGCAGCATCCCATAGAGGTTCCGCTGGGCCCAGGTCCCCCGCGCCCCATGGAGCCCTGGGGCTGTTGGGAAGCAGAAGGTGGTTGGATCCACAGGAGCCACAGACCCCCATCCTTGGTCCACCTCTGTCCCAGGGGAGCCCATACCCTTGGGGTCCATTTGGTCCAGCTGGAACCGCAGGCGGCGCTTCTCCTCCTGCAGCCGCAGCATTTCGGTCTCCAGACGTGGGGGTTGCTTTGCCACAGGGGACTGCAGAAAAGAGGCCCAGAGCCGCCCTTTATGGCCACACAAGCTGCACAGAAACGGCCTGGTGCAGTGGTGAAGATGCCTGAAACAGCCCATGCTTCACTGGCTGGCCTTGCATCCATCTGGAGGTGGCAACTTATTGGAACCACACCAGGCTGGAGGGTCCCAATCCTTTCTGCATTTGGCTCTAAGTCCAACTCCAAAATCAGTTTTGCCCAAAACATGGCCCAGATTCTGACCCCAAGAATGACTCCCTATCAGACCCCAACTCCACTCAGACTATCCATGATCCAAACTAAGATCACAGTGAAACCGAGTCACATCCCAACTCAGACCCCAACCTTAGACCTTCCCAAACTCTGCCTACTGACCTGGGCTGGCACCGTGACCCCCTCCTACTCAGCTGTGGTGATACCTCTTCTAGGATTCCAACCCAAATCCAAATTTAAACACAGCCCCAGACTCCAACCATGATGCCAGCACAGACTCTGAAAACAGAGCGAACACGGCCCCTTCCTGTCCCTCTGCCCCCTCTCTGTTCACCTTGGGGGCCTGTGGCCGCGTGGTTACCCGCTGAGCTCGGCTTGCGTATCGTAGGGTGCTGAGAGTCTCGGGAAGGCACCGGGCAGAGGGAGACACACAGGCCACCTGGGGAGGACATCCACTCCTGGGGAGTGTTGCTCTCAGGATTCCCTTTCTAGGGACCATGCCCACCCTGCAGTGCCCCTCAGGTACCATGAGGGTGACCCCACGGCCCCCCAGTGAGTCTGCCAGCAACTTGGTGAGTTTGCTGTCCCGAAAAGGGATGTGGTTCTGCTTCCGCTGTGGATCCAACAGCAGCGAGATGCAGTGACCTGTGTGGGGACAAAAAGGTTACAGCACTCATCCGAAGCCATCTTGATGGAACACTCCAGGGCTGGGATATCCACCAGGTCCAGGAGATTAAACCCATCTAAACCCATCTGTCTATAGGATCTCCTTCCCCTCTGACTGGTGTTCCTGGGGGCACAGTTGGCCCTGTCCACCCCATCCCTGATGCCCAGTATAGGGCCTGGCATTCGGCAGGGGCTTAGGGAATTTCTAACCAATGGCTGAATGGAAAGGAGTCCCAGCAGCAGCTCCCACGCCTGACACAATCTCAGGATCTCAGAATGATAACCTGGGAGGAACCCTGAGCCCTTCCTTCCCGCCCCTTCCTGGGCCTCAGTCTTGCCAAGGGCGGGAGGGACAGGCTGAATGTCACTGAGGGGTCACACTGCAGAGGGATGCTTCTATGTTGGGATGCAACTCTCAGGCCCTTAGAGTCTACGGAGGGATGGGGACACTCTGGGTGGGGTCAGCAGCTGAGTCAGGGCCAGGTGAGGCCGGTGATACTCGGACCACAGCTTTGAGCCCCACCGGGGTCAGCTACAGATCAGGCACAGAGGCACAGGGAACCAAATGTGTTCTTCCTAGGTCTCACCCAGGGCCAGCAGGCTGCGGTTGATGCTGTTGGCCTCAAGCATCAGCTCCCCACGGGATCCTGTGGCTGCCACCTTCTCACTGCCAGCCAGGTCCACAAAGCACAGCTTCCCACCAGCAGGGGACTCCCCAGGGTCCTCAGAAGGCATCTGCTGGGGCTGGGGCATCAGGGCCTTCTGGGGACTTGGGAGGTATTGTTCCCACTGAAGTCACAAGGTCACAGGGCCAAGGATTCCCAGCAGCGCAGACCTGGACACTCACCCTGGGGCGGCTGATGTGGAGTGTGAGTAGCGCGTGGCTGCGGCTGGAGGCCTGGTTGAGGGTGTGAGCCGAGCTCCTCCTTCGGCTGAGACCTGGAGGGAAACGTCAGGAGCTGCACGAGGCAGGAGGCCCAGGCCATGAGTGAAGGAAAACGAGCAAAGGTGTGGGTGGAAGGTGGGCAGAGCAAAGACACAGGAAGTGTGTTGATCCCAGGCAGGTCTGGAGCACAAGAAAGACAGATTCTCATCTCCTAAGTATCTCCCCCGGTGTCAGGTAGAAGGAGAGAGAGAAACCGAGGCTGAGAAATCAGCTGGGAGGAGCAGCACATGCTGGGGCCAGGGTCCTCGGTGCCTGCCAGAGGACAGCTGCTCAATAAACCCTGGAGGAATGAGTGAGGCTGGAAGGGAAGAGCCTTATGGGGTGGGTCAAGAGGTATGAGGACCCTCTGGGGCAGCAGAAGAGCGGAGATTCTGGAGACAACACGTAAGTGGCTTGTAGCAGGAAGAGGGGCTGTCAGGGAGGAGCCTGGAGGTGGCGAAGAAAGTGGGGGGTGGGGGATGGCAGATGGCCTGGGACTGAAAGGAGCTTGGAAGGCACAATCAGCCAGCCCTGGGGACAGGATGGGGGGGACTCAGGCCGACAGCCTTGGACCATCTCTGAATTCTAGGTTTGCCAGTTCTCCAAGACATTTCTGAAGCTTCAGCTCCGTCGTGGACCCCAGGCCCCACTCAGCAAGGGCACCCACACCTCAAAGCTCCCCTGAGGGAGCCGTACCCATCTGCAGAAGTTCCATCAGGGCCTCCAGACCCCGAATTTCCACCACGCGCAGCTGCTCCACATAGAAGCCCCGGGTCTTGTTCCACCGAACAGGGAGGGGCCGGGGAGACCCCATGCTCAGCAAGTCCCGGACCTGAGGGAGGAGGCAGAGGGACTGGCTCGCTTTGAATCCGCGCTCCATCCAGCCCCAGCCTTTCTGGACAAGAGTCTCCACCTCCCTTTCTGCCCTCTACTCTGCCCGCCTCCTCCACTCTTCACCTGCTCATTGTAGATCTCCAGGTAGGAGGCGCGCAGGGTGACGGGGGCACCCAGATTCTGCACGCGGTCCAACAGCCAGGCGAAGGTCCTCTGCATGATGCCAGCCAGGCTGGGGGGTACGGGCACCCCCTCCCCCTGGGAGCAAAGCTAGCTGAGCCTGCCGCTGGGCGGACCGCTGCAGCCGCCCCGGCGATAAACTACCGTCTTTATAGGGCACTTACTGCACGCCAGGAACCGCGCCAGGGTCCCCATCATAGCTCATTTAATCCTCACTGTCCGCACAATCATTTGCTTTTACAGAGGAAGACTAAGAGCTAGTAAGGGGCAAACCCGGCAAGTCCCTTTCCTTTGGCCCTCGGCTTCCCGGCCTGAAAACAAATGGAGCCCATTACTCTCGGGGGGGGGG